TTCAAAATTCAAAGGGCGTATAGTGCAGGTGAATGCTCTGAAAAACGAATCGGAAGTCAGCGACGACAGCGATGAGTTGGAAACCATAACGAAGGCAAATGAACTGGACGAAAGAAAAGAGGAAGAGGACGAAGGTGTTGGTCAAAGCAAAGAGGACAGCTGTTTAATTGAGAGTACCCAGGCTCCCTCATATCAGAATTCCGTGGAAGAATGGATCGTGGTACATCGAGTGGACTTGACTGAGGAGATTTCGCGCCAAATTAAACACTCGCTGGTGTTTAACAGTCTGCGAAGATCCTACACCTCCTGCTGTACGATCATGTGACTGTAAGAGGGAGAAACGCTCCGTGCTGAGCAGTCACTGTATCATGTGACAGCTGAGAAACAATGTACGAAAGGACGCGTCCACAAGTTCAACGTAGCACTGAGAAGACTGTTTTGTACGGGTATACACGATGATTAGGTGATCGAAAACGTGTTTTAAAGTTATCGAGCCTGAAATTACTTGGCGTCATTGCGCAAAAATTCATTTTACAATTTCACTATTAATAAGAAGCTAACAAAAAAATAGGTGCAAAACAAGTACTCAAAAACAAAATAGAAAATAGTAGTTTTGGCAATTGATTTAAGTTTTGATGTTTGAATATAGAGAAGATTTAGTAGCAGAAGAGATGTTTCAATCTCGGTCTTGAAATATTGTATCTTTTTCCTTGAATTTCTTCATACGAGTGGAAATAAAGTACTTAATCATACGCATTTAGCTCTTTCGTTAGCACATAGGAAGCGAAATTGTCACGCTTAAGGAGCATCTATACTCTATTGAAATCATAATTTCCCCTCTAACAGTTGACGAATTTCAGTATTCTCATCACCTGCGTGATCTACGATGCCCGAATATTGTCAGGAGAAAGTAGGTGTTTATCACTTTGAAATTCTATTTCTCTATTTATAACTTTCCTCTGGTGGAAATCCCGCCTAATTTTTACAAGACTCTTCTAGTTTGCAAAAATTAGGCGGGATTTCCACCAGAGGAAAGTTATAAATAGAGAAATAAAATTTCAATTCTCCTAACAACATTCGGGCATCATAGATCACCCAGGTGATGAGAATACCAAAATTCGTCAACAGACCGATATACTCTTGATAAAGGGTGAAATTCTCACAGCTGGCAATAAACGAAATAAATACAAATCGACAAGTACAACACGTTGGAGAGGTTCTTAAAGGTCTCGCTTTATTGTACATTGTACTTTTATTTCTATACGGTTCATATAAAAAATGATTTGCCCTGATTATGAAGTTGTGAAGTCATTGCGGTAAAAAATACTCATATTTTATACAACTGATCTTTTGTCTACAATTCAGACTCGAGCGTTCATCAGTTGGTTCCTAATTATATTACATTATTCGATAGCAAAATTTTGTCCATTCTTGAATTTTAGGAATCAGTCAAATTTGCTACCTTGATTTCACCAAAAAATAATGAATAGCATTGTGCAATATTTGTCAGATTTCTCACTTGCGATATAATAACAAAACGCCTAACTAGGACATGACGACAGAAAGACAATTTTTCCCTTTTTCGTTTTAGTTATTTCATTTTCTGCCATGTTGTTATGCTGAACGCAAAATGACTATTGCCTTCTCTTACCTCGTAAGGTCGCTAGTGTTAATAAGGCATAACTTAATTATATCTCTGAAGGTTTTTATACACAAAAAATTAGAATTTTCATTTATAAAATCCTTACTCTAAGGTTAAAAAAGATCTTCCTCTCGGCGTGAAAATCAAATGACCGAATGCATCTCTGAAGTTCTGCTACCTATCAATATAAGCCTTGAGTAAATATAAAACCAAGCTAACTACCCAACACATTTTGATCATTGTTTCACTCGGAAACATTGTGATAAAAGAACTATACTTAAGTCGGAAAATAAAAAGTATAGCGGTATCAATTCGATTGCTAACCGAGTAAGTCTACCTAAATATCAATCTATACTTTTGTTCAGACGAACAAATAGTTTTACGTCGCAAGGCGAAGTAATGTTTAGCCCCTTGACTGAACAAGCAGTTGAGGATTAAACTACAGACCTTCTTGTCGTGAAATGCCTCATGTGAAATGAATTGTTAAAGTACTTTTAAAAACACATGCAACAAAATCTTCACCTGCAACTTTCGTAATTTATAGAAAAGCCTCACATAAAAACTTTGTTTGGAATTCTTTCGACAACCACGTATTCGCACGTACGTATTGAGCTTTAGTTCCCTAAAAGCAGTTTATCACCGTGTGACAACTCAGTCGTTAAGAGAACAGAACCGTTGCATGAGGAGAGAATGAATAGGTCAATGCAAAATCGTTGCGTGACGGAAAAATCAATACGCGATTGGCGATTGAAATAATGATAATAATAATAATAATAATAATAATAACAATAACAATAATAATAATAACAATAATAACATTTATAATGCGCAAATTTCATAAAATGGTCAAATGCGCATGACAAGATTAAAACGAAATAAAAAGGCTAAAAAGCTAAAATGAGAAAGTGGACGATACAAACACTCAGTAAGATATTAGTGATCATCAGCATATTCAGTTTGGAAAATATGAAACACAATGCAGCGGAAAGAATTGAAATTTGAAATTTCCAGTTTTGATGATAATCTAGAGGTAAAAAGCTACCTAATGTATGTAACCATGGTAACTCGCGCGTTTGATACCATTCGACCTAAGTGAGTTGTTATCATACTTCCTCCTCCTCGTCTACCGACGCGTTTATCCTTCCCATATCAAGCTCTTCAGTCACTTGATGATTGCGTGAAACGTTTGAGTCTGGTGACGAGGGTGTGTTCGTGGGAGACAAGCGCGGTACATCTTCCATAACTTCAGACTGCGCATAAGTTTCTGACATATCGATATACGCGGTTACCCGTTCATTTTCAATCCATTGCTACAAGAAAAAAAGAAATATTCGTCAATGGTTTTCTGATGAAACATCAGTTACAGAACGGACTAAGACAAGGATGGTTTCTGTCACAAAATGGCCCGCAACAACGTAACCTGTCAAAAA